GTCCTTCTAAGCGTTAAGAAGCTCGGTAGTTTGTCACCTCTAAAAACACGGCTAATGAGTATGATTATCCTGGTCATAACCAAACCATTAAGTGTATGGCCAATGAATTCCATCTTATTGGGCGCATAGGACCCGCTTAATATTTGAGCTTTTTGGTTACTTGAGAAAACTTATCAATCATAATTTTGAGACATATCAATATATCTTTATTAAACTTCCTATGTTATGAAAACCTAATGCTCTATTATTGTCCTCAATTATTGATATATCACGAGCGCTACCCCAACTCCACCTAACTTCAGTTTTAAATTCTACCCAAAAATAGAAAAAAAATTAACGCTCAAATCATAACATCCATTCAATCAATTCATTCAATTGAAGGCAAACTCTCTTCCTCATCTTTTATCCCAAAGGCATACTGATATTTTGGAAGATCTGCATACATGTCATACACTTCTCATGTATTTACATATCTATCCCCTAAACTTCAAAATTTTTATTAATACCGCTTTATATATGCACGAAGATATGAATGACACTATAAAAAATTAACAATAATGATATTTTTTACGTGATATGAAAGATTTACGTGTTAAAGGCGGTAAAACATCAGTCTTTGTTTGACATAAAAATTCATAAGAATTGTCTGGTATGCATGTAATTGCCCCCTATTATTTTATGTCTTGGATTACCCTTTTGTCATGAAAAATGCAAAATGCAGAATTGCAGATGATCTTATTAAAAAAAGACAACATGGCCTGTTCTACATATGAGAAAAATATGATAAATGGAACCATCAAATATAATAAAAACTCCTCTCAGCAAATTTTTCCTGCTCTTCTTAAGGAGTTGGCTCCCTCATCCCATTTATGCAAAAAACAAGAAATAAATACTACATAAAAAGTTCAAATTAAATCATAGTGCAAATTTAACTACAAAATACATAAATTACAAATAGGAAGACTTAATTACACAGCTACTGAAACACATAAAAATTCTGAAAGCATCAAACCATTTATAATCTCACATCAACTGCATAAATTTGACTACTTGTATAATCTACAAGTAAAGAGAGATTCTTGGAATGACTCAGAGCCCTCTCTATCCATTGTATTACAAATATACCCTCGCATGCCCGGGCCATCCTCATCCTCCTCCTCCTCCTCACTATCATCCTCTCCATCATTCTCATCATCATCTTCAACTTTAACATCCTCATGATTTTCTTTCTTACTCTTCTTCTCTTCTTTCTCCTCATCACCATCCTTATCATCCCCTAATTTTAATTCTTGTTTAAAATCACTATGAAGAGACTCATCTTCATCCTCGACTTTCACAAGATGCTCATCATCACTATTTCTTATCCTGTTTTCATTGAAGTTCCCATGATTATGAATATCATCTTCATCTTCATTTTCATCTTCATCATCATCATCAGACGTATCAAACTCATCATCACTGTCATCAATTACTTTGATCGTGGCCTGATCTCCCAAAGCACACATAGGGTGGAGATCGAAGTCGCACACCTCGCAGAAATAGGACCATCCTTGCTTAATGACCCCACAAGCATCACACTGATAATGCCTCCAAGCTTTTACAAGCACATGTTTGTGCAACATGTGCTTAATCCTCTTGGGCCATTCAGCCTCCTCCTCCTCCTCCTCCTCACTATCCACCACCTCATGTCTGGCATCCAAAGCACAATCAGGATGGAGATCAAAGTCACACTGCTTGCAATAGAACGACCAATGTCGCCCTCTCTTCCCACAAGAATCACAAATGTATTCTCTCTTACTCTTCCAAAGCACGTGACTGTGCTCTTCATGTCTTATCTTCGCCGGCCAAAGCTTCGCTTTTTCCTCCATCTCAGCCTTGAGTTGCATCATTGACTCTTTAGTGAAAGGGTATGCATCAGCTCCATGTTCCATTATGAGGCTTCGTGCCTCCTTCGTGATAGTTTTGCCTTCGCGATTGATGGCTACGCATGAAGGAAT